ATAAGTTTTCGTAAATGCGTTCTCGCTGGTATGGGAGAAATAATCAAACCTTTACAAACTTAGGTAAGTTGCTTACAAGACTCGCAATACTGCAATTCTTTGTAAAAGGACATCTCACGGTTTTAAAAGACATCCTAATATAACCAATATCTTAAAGTAAAAAATCACACTTCCTTCGAGTGCGAAATGATAAGAAGTAGCTACTTGTTATTCAATAAGTGCAAAAAGATTATTCTCATGTATTTTTCTAACAAACTATATTTAAATTTACAAGTTCGGCGAAAGTCAGTGTGAAAAGTTCTTATGACTACAAAGTGATTTTATCGACTGTGGGTGTTGCAGGCATCCGGAAAGAAGCTCGTGAAAGGCCGGCATCGTCTCCTTATTGGAATAGCTGGTGATTACGTTTCCCCATAAGTAACATTATAATCTGACTTGGATAACAAGCATCTTGGACTTTCAGTTAACATTCCATAAGATCTGCTTTTCTGCTCTCGCAAGGCAGTCTCAGATATGTAATACTCGGACCATTGTTGCAGGATGATATGTGTCGTTCAGCTAATGCACTCATGTCCACCTACAAATGTTGCCGTCGGATAATGGTGGGAGCAGTGCCTTACTGCAAACAACTTTCCACGCAAGGTACATTGTAGGGCAATTCCATTTGGTAGCGGTACAGGTTCAAATCAAGATTATTTTCTGTTATACTGAATGCGTCACTGTGCATTCTAGAACAGTCCTCTTTAGACCTCTGCAGGCCAGGGAATATACTGCTATGTATGTTAGGCAAACACAGACATCGGACGAGTGAGTCCCCGGATGACTTAGCTGGTAGTGAACATCCACATTTCAATAGCTTTTGTTGCTACAACTACTTCTTGCTCAGAGCCTAACCTAGGTCGCAAGACAGTAGAGCGAACCATTCACTGACGCTAGTTAGCCTCAAGAAAGGGCCGAATAATATTTTCCAAAAATAGTTAAAGCATTAAACCTAATCTCTCTTACTGTAGAACACAGTTAAGTATAAATCTTGTACCTCTCATTCATAAATAGAGGCCGCCAGACCCAATGCTTACGAGAAAACTAGAGCAGCTCTTGCCTCGAGCCCAAAAGTAAGTAAATCATTGCCAGAAACCATACACACGATTATTATTAGCATTATTATAAAAAAGAGATTCCATAATATTTGTTACTTGCAACTGTTGGCCCAAAATACAATACCTAGCCAAAACCTCTTCACTGTTGTCTCATTCCCATCACTGTTTCCGCACATCAAGTTTGATGGACTCTTTGTTCCTGAAATGGAGTTCGACCTGATCAATATTCTTTGCGAGGTCAGACTCTAACAGGCGCTCACTGGACGTGGGGGGAGTTGGGGTAGCGTCTTCAGACTTTGCAAGAGGTTTGCTGGCATCAAAACAGACGCCTTTCCCTCGCGGTTTGATTTCTTCTTTAGGCAGGCCAATGGGTTCCAATCGCCTATGCTCGGGGGGACAATAAAAGGCACCATAGTCTTCATAGGTTGTTTCTTGATACTTAAGATGAGAAGGCAACGACATTGTCCGTTTTGTCAAGTTACTAAAATCCCTTTAGTTGCACCGGTGACCATTTATATATTGGGGAAGGGAGGGATGCGCAAAACACATCACATGACTTGGCAAAGTGCACAATTGAGAGCAGCGTACTATTGTAAGGAAGGTTTTTAAGCGTTCATACCGTCACGGGACTGACGGTAGGAAAACTAGTTTTTTTGTTTTGTGCGATTGCATGAGGGCATCATAAAAATTGCGGTTGGGCGGCCCAATCGTGCCAATCGACAACAAGCCCCTTCCCAAAACGCCCCTCTATAAGTTTGTCGCTGCAGATGGTTACCAACAAGGTAAACAAAAACGTCGCAACAAATACACCTGAAATATCCACCTCTGGTGTCTAGCAATTACTCTGAATCCTGGGCGAACCTTGTTAAACACGAGCAGCGTGTTGCATAATTATAATGACTGAAGCAGCCATCTTCGAAAATAAGTCTGATCGGATGTATCGAGGAGTGATAAGGCTAATATGGTTAACCCTAACGGCTGCTATCTTCCAGGCCCGGTTTTTCAGGAAAGAGAGAAGTCTTTGGAAGGCCAGAATGGTAGGAAGAGTTTATTCTGTAGAAGTACAGAAGAATAGGTAGTAAGAGATTTGACTGTCGGAGCACGCGTCCTTCCACTAGAGCGGCCTGGCTGACGTGATGTCCAGCGGCAACCATCACGTTGAGGTCTGTCTAAACAATTTGAGGCCAACCTACTAAGGAAGGCATCTCACTGAACGCATTGGGTTCACGACAGGAAGGCACAGCGCACACGTTTGCGCCTGTACCAAAAACATGACGTCAGCAGCAGTGGGCGCGACGAATCAGCACGCGAGCGACATTAATTTGCGGCTGATCATAGGTTCCAAGTGGCGCTAGCGGTGACTATAGATGCATGCAAGACTCAGTTGTCACCGAAACTCCATTATCGTGTCCATATTGTGAACGCACATTTCGGACACGCCTCTGTTTGCTTGGATGTCTGTGGACCGGGCGTAATGTCCACACGACTAGCCCCGGTGAGGATACAAATAGCATCCTGCCATTTATAACAGCAATGGGGATTGAGTGCTAATCTGCCCCATAGCCATCGCATTTAAATATGACTTGTTAGTCTTTTTGGTGACGACCGAATAAGTTATACTATCGCAGGGGGTTGAGTTAAACCCAGCAACTGTGATCTTCAGACCATGGTTACTTAGTGCTGAAGAAGTCGGTAAAAGCCAGAGTAGAGGGAAGAGTTTATTGTGTACACAAAGGAACGGAGAGTAGATGGAGGAAGTCTGACTTAGCGAGCCTACGACCGGCAGGAGAGCCAGCCGCAGTCCAAGTGCGGTTTTAGCGGCAATCAGGACAGTAGACAGAGAGAGCGCGTTAATTGGTTATCGGCCTGTGGTTGGTTGGAGGGCGTGTTGGGTGGTCCACGTCACGCGCGCTAGTAAGTCTGGCGACCGCAACGACCTTTAGCTCCGGAGAGATTGAGGCCACGACCAGAAGGAGCAGACATCGGACAGGCGGCAACCACTAAAATACTACGACGGCAAAACAGAGCGACGTGACTTGATAGTCATTCACCACATGCACACAACTTGTTAACAATGACCCAGGACATCCGGCCAAAACATGAGCTTATTTGGCCACACTATCCCCATCCACGAAAGAAATATGTTGAACAACACAGACAGATCCCATCAAAACATCTAGTCACGTCTACCAACACAAAAGGACAGGCATACCTCTCAACATCACGACATGCTACCTTTCCGCAGAAAGCCTGCAGTCTGTTTTATCATTGTGAGTATTTCAGTCGAAACGTCGCAAGTCAAAACAAGCGCATGCCATCTAAGTTGAATGCATACCAGTTGATTTATTTTAGTATTTCCTGGGGAGAAAAGAATAGTGTATGTCACGCGTAGGTGGGCAGTTGTGCTTTGATTGCCATTGCTCCCGGTCTGGCTACCAGTTCGTTCACAGTCAGGGAGAGTCATACGTTACGTGGGAGAGAGAAGAGAGGCAGTGATCGATGTCGAGATTCCATCTTTACGGCATATACGCTTATTCCTTATCAAGATAAAGCGGACGAGATTTAGTATATCATGGCGCGCTAGGCACCGTGGCACTGGAGGTTGCAAAATGGTGAGATAACAACCTTCATCAAATGATGTGTTACCGAGGATGTCCCAGAACTGAAATAGCCCACACACGAGCAGCGCCTGACTGCCTTGAACCTCTACCTCTTACATCACAGACAAGAAGGAGGAGATTTTATGGTAAGTTTGCAGTTGTTAGGGCGGTTCGATGATGATGTGCATTGGAAAAGTTTTTCGAAATGGTCCGGAAAATTGATCTCAGACGACGCGATTCCCAACTTAACACGGAACTACTCCGCAGCAGTCAGCGCTCCTCCTCTGTCTTACAGTTATTCGTTGATTAAAGTCTTTACCAGCGTATGTCACAAAGTCCGCCTACCGTTAGTCCTTTCAAGGGGCGTCTTGATTCCCACATGTAAGCAATGGACAAGAACTCTCCTGGCAAGAAGTATGTGTAAATCGCTGGGGCAAAAATTTTATTTGCTTGACGATTTGAAATCCATCGCGGATTCCCTATCCGAGGCAACAGCAGAAACGGGTGATTCATACACAGAGAGTTGTAGTATTTATCGGATGCCATCACTATGCAACTGCACACTTATGACAGTTAACGACTCCCCTGTCGAGGATAATTACCCACTTGTGGGCTAATTGCCTGATAACCAGCCTGCTGGCCGTGAGCTGCTGAACTTTCATCACACGTGTGCAGCGACATTGTACTTCTTAGCCATGCTTTCCTCGGACGCCGCGGGGACAGGCCAGGTCTGATAT